TCAATGGATTCTTTTCATAAGTGACGATATTGCAGTTGCGGGCTCGGGGAGGACAGACCATCAAATAATCAGACGGCTGGGCCCCGGAGTGCCGAGTTCATAGCCACCACACATACACATACGAAATCTATTTATTCTTCGCCTGCCAGCCAACAATTTTACATAATAAATGGAGAACTCCGCCGCTCATCAAGCCATGGTTGCCATCCTATTTCTAGTGAACAGGAAGTTTTATTCCTTTTCCGCTCGGGGAATCGCACAACCGCATTCGCTTGAGGAATATAATGGAGAGGACACTCACTCCTAAACTGCGGACGGACTAGCATGGTGGATCCTGACAACGGGTCCGTTAACTTGACATATTACCACTAATGGACAGGATCGTCCAAGAGTCTAAAAGATTATGATTGGGTGTGTAGACAACCAACTAGTATTTCATGGAAAAGAGCCAGTAGGAGATAGGATTGTGGTCTTTGGGGAATCCCGTCCTTGGAAATCCTTAACTCATCCATCTCAAGCTAAACTAACTCCCTTGAGATAAGTTTCATAGTCACACGCACGGGTTCTGCGGCGGCGACAAAAAGCAAGGCTTACATACAGACACTAGGTTGACTTATGCTCGAGTATGACCTATCACATCTTGGTAGGAAATTTTTTACACTTACGCTTTAACGCTTTGGGATCAAGACCCTTGAAGATCATTACCTGCAGTCGTTCAACGGGCGTTGGTGGTGTAACATATCCCAGGTGCTGTACCTACATATACTACAGCATGAACCTGCAGTCTATGTCGGTACGTGGTAACTGGTTGCGTTTCCCAGGTACTTCAGGTTAGCGGCTAGGCCGAGTAACTCGGTTATCAGTAACGTTGGCAACCTATTAAACCCACCGGACTCCACTAGCTGCGCCCGTAAGACCTGTAAGCCGCCTTTTCTACACGGCGCTTTCCGGGTCACGAAGTAGCCGTTCTTTTATTATCCGTGGTACTCATAAGGAATAATAGCTAAGACACAAGAAAACCTCAAATGGATATTCGATTAACAATAGCAATGACTATGTACCTGTCATATACAGCATTATGCATGCATTGCGAATGGACAGGTGTCGTCAAAATGCATTTCTTGACCGAGCTGCTAGGACACCATCCTTCTAGGTACATGCTTGATCTCCATTACCACCGACTACCGCCGAGTCGTCGCGGCGATTGAAGATCCAATAGGGCAGGTAACAAGCTTATTATCTAAGTTTCTCGGTGCTTTCCCCCTTTCACAATCCACGAATCGTTACTCAAAGTCAATGGCTTTAAAGATGCACAGCATTATTCTTGGCTTTCTTCGTAGATAAACTGGCTCCAATTCGTGTATAAAGCCCCAGGAGAAGCGAGATCAAAATGTAAAAGCAGTCAGGTGTGAGACAAAAAGAGGGCGAAGTATACTGCTTAACGACCAACCAGAATTCCAAAGGCACAACCTGCATTAGACTAGCTGCGATGCTGGTAGTCGTTGTCGCTCAGTGATTGGCTCCTCGTCGACTTTGGCTGCTTGGCCACTAGCGAGTTTCTGCAGAGCTTACCCATTTAAAACAGATTCACCACACCCACAACTGCAATATTCTTCGTGTCCCTATTAGCGTGACGGACTCATTCGCAAATCACAAGAGAATCTCCCTCTACTATAGAGTCATATTAAACCCCTATAAAATTTGCTCTTCCCCCCTAATCTATGGCAGTGGTCCTAATCGTCCCGCCGTTGTGTCCGAAGAGATTCACTCACCCTCCTTCATAGGAGAATTGTGTCTTCATCGATCGCCAAGTTAACCCACATCCTTCTGCACAAAATACTATACTCGAATCCTTTTCCCCGGGTTTGCCACTACCTGCTCAATTAAGCCGGCAATGATCGATCGAGCTTTTGAGGTATTAAACCCTAGCTCTATCGAAGGAGACTTTGGGGCCTGCTATACCGAATTGAGAGGTGAATAGCACGCAGCACAACTCCTTTATGAAACGATGTCACTCAAGTTCCATACGTCAAGAGTTAGCGCCACGTTTAGGTATTCGTCTGATCTACTTTGACATGTTTCCGATATCCGATCACGTCAAAACACTTTATGAGATCGAAACTGCTTCAGAAAGTATCTCTGCATGAACCTACATACCGTTTCTATGTTGCGCAGATGCCTCTTATTCGGTGTTGTTTAAACGCAGGATGTTTCTGCTATCGCTCTGCCGAGTATCCGGTACGGATGAAATAGCCTGAATCTTGGATCACTTCTGATCTGCGCTTGGCTTATGGAATATCTGTTTCGTTGCTCATCACCTGCCGTTTGAGCGGAAAACGGTATAGGATCTTTTGACTGGTAGCCAGGTAGTTCGCCACATGGTTCTAGCACCGGGGATTTCTCATCTCAACAGGACTCATGTTTCTAAGAATAATTCCAACGATAGACAGCTGCCTGCTAAGCTGTGATTTCTCGTGTAGGTACATAGATACTTCGAGAAGCGTTCCATGTTTTGACAGTCTTATGGCGTCACCCACTAGATCCACTCTCGCCTTCCATTGTCTGAAACAGCCAATAGCTTCGAGAGAATCTGTCGTTCTCTCTCCAAGTTTGGCTAAAACCGGTTTAGCCTAAGACTGGTCTCCACAACCTTAATCCTCATGGCATTTCTAAAAATGCATCCCACGAACTGTGACGTGATAAAGTATTATGGTAGCTACCTCACTACAAGTATCTTTCTCCTATTTATAACGGAGCATGGAAATCAGCTGATTCGCGATAACGACGATGCAATCGAGAGTCTGAGGCGATAGACCAACACGGCCATATACTCATGATTGACTAATATGATTTCAATCCTGTCTAGGCTTCTAGATCCCTTGCGGAATTAGCTCGTCGACTAGAATCCTGTCGTCGTCAAGCGAGACATGACGCCAGCCACCTAATCAACAGGAAATTGATATCGACATCTAATCTCAGCGCTCCCGAAACCAAGCTCGAAAGTTCGCGACTATAGTTTCCTATTGAGATTTCCAATGTCTCCTTCCTCGGACCTGTATCCAAGAGCTTTGTCCGGTAGACCAGGCAACTAGACAAGTAGGTGTTGCTGATGTCTGATTGTATAAATCGGAAACATTCCCCTTGCATGTACAGTATTCTAGCATCTCAACATTGTCAACCGGAACTAAGACCGTGGATAGTATCTTAAAATAGGTATCTCCCCTTGCTTCACACTTGGCACTCCTGCCTCTGTCCGGGTAACGGCAGACTTCTTCTAGCAGGTACCGTTTGGTGCTGAGGAGTTTACTGTGTACCAAGCTCTGTCAGCTCCCTCGGTACCAACACCAAGTTTTGTGTCGACGTGCAGTTCGTTTTCTCAAGGTTGAATGTACCAGCGAACTGTGCTCCCAGGACGGTCCAGCGCAACCCCAGAGCTGCTTACTACGAAAGGGGTCAGTATCATCACAATAGGAGACTGTGACAGTATCCGTATTCGTCTTCAAAGTCCTGCGTGCGGCCAAATCCGGACGCTCTTCAAGCCACAAAAGCGACCGTTTCTCGGCTGGTCAGCTCTCAGCCGCAGTATGGACCCCAGGATATGAGACTGGGGGCTAAAGCCGAATGGTGAGTCAGCTTGGGTCAGTTCCTGCATATCACCTACCACAAAGTGGGAATACCGAGGCAAGATTATCTCCGACGAGAAGTCGACCCGGATTTCTTGCGGTGAGATACGGAGGTAAGAATATAGTCGTTCGATGCTGTTAGCTGCAGGTAGGTGAGATTCCAACTTTGTGGGGTCGGGAAGAGAACCCGAGAGGAGGCATTCTAAGAATATCTTCCTACCTGAGCTTGCCGCAGGGCTGTGTATTTGCGGCGGCGACGCTATCGCCGAATGTTGGAGTCTTGGTATATCTGTCTTCCTCTTTTGCTTACAGAATTCTACTCAGACTTTGGCTTCCGTCATCTACTAACACTTCCTTGCGCATGCAATCTCAAAGACCAAAGTCGAAGGAAATGGTAAATCGGGTCTTAGTCGAGTAACATCGAACCAGCATCAGTCGCCTGTTGGCGTCATCCTGAAATAGAGTCGTGATTCCATTCACATAACCCCTTGCCTCGCCCCATGCGATGTGCAGGGCTTCAAACTTCAAACCACCACGTGCAGCTACCCATCGCAGACCAATCTGCATCAAAAGTCTTTCGAAGCTACGAAAATCTCCAGAGGTGAGGTGCAGATGAGCTCCGCCTCATCCTTCCGCCGCTCTAGTCGTAGACGTTGGGGTTCTTGAGTCTAGAACGCGGAATGCGTTCCGGGGATTAAATGCGGCAATCCTCATTGTCTATTTTTGAAACTCCATCAAGCTCGTATCCTCACTTTGAAAGGATTCTCCTTAATTGCTTGCAGGAGGAACCTGCCGCAACGGTCCAACAGTGACTTGAAATGGAATCTTTGGCCAAGAACAGAGGATGCAAGTTCGGTTTTCGCAGTTGGGGCGGGAACCTGCAGGTACATAATCTAAATCCTCACTCCATTTGTTATCGACTCCCAATTGCGTCTCGACTAGGTCTTGGTGCTACTATCAGAGTGCGCGCTTCTGCGGTGCGATGTTGCGATGTTTCGCGGCAGCAAATGCGGAAGCGGCCCTTAGCCGCAAGCCCCAGCGTTTAAGTGTTCCTGTAGATCGTTACGGAGCTTTTAATTCCAGACAGATGGATCGTGTCTAAGTGGTTGCGTATTTCTGCGGGAACGTGGCCCTGTTGGATCTGTTCTGTAGGAGTCGGCTCGAAAATGAATGGCCCTCCCACATAACCTGTCGAGCTCCAAACATGAACCTCAACGAAAAGGGTTGCTGCAGTGAAGACCTCAATTACGCAGCTCAGTAAAATTGTGAAGCTAGACGGCGCTTAGTCTACCTTAGGTGTATATACTAATTAAGCCGACTCGTTTTCATACATCCAATCAGGATCTGGGGAATTCTCCAATTTCCACATCCACCACGGGGCGTGTAACTCAGTGGTAGAGTGCTCGCTTTGCATCTTTCCAGGCGCTAAATTGCGAGAAGCCCAGGGTTCGACTCCCTGCTCGTCCATATCTTTTGCCAATTTGTCTGAATGAATGCTGATGCGATATTCATCAGACCACTTGATTTTTTAGTGCGTCAGCTCAATAAGTTGGAAGATAGCGTCGCTGCTAAGTCGCGCTCACTTTTGTTGCGCGAAGTCTTGGCTCAGAGATGAATTCATTTTCTGAACAGAGAGACAGACAATTTGGTGCGTAATCTCGCAATAAACTTCTCTATTTACTTGGAAATGCAGCTTATTCGAATGCGATACGATCACCAACTAGGTAGTCTGATTAGATGGTGAGTTAGAAACAGTGAATTCGCAGGGCCCTTAGAATTCTTGCAGGTACCCCTTTCTCTTGTGCGATCCAGCTGGGTAAGGACACACATACTAGCGGAAGGTTTACGGGAATAAATGACGAGAATCTAGCAATCCGAAGTCGAATTGAAGATAACTGAATGAAATTTACAGATACTCTACGAATAAACATCTAACCGCTACTAAATAACTGATCATCTGTTCCGCTTCAAGCAGTCAACTCTATCGACATGCTCTACCTGGCAGTAACTTCGTCGCAGATTAGGCAAGCTAAATGAGAAGAGGCTGGCAATTCACCAGATCTACTTTGGCGTAGACTTCGTATCTCACCTCGCCAAGGGTGAGAGACATCTTCTAAGTGAGGGTCTTGGACCACCTGAGAAGCCCGAGCTGATGATGACGCTTTCCAACCACACACCTAGCACAACCAGGTCCTCTCTGTATGTTGGGTTTCTCTCCCGCTTTATTAACCTAGTAGACGCCCTATGAATAGTATAATTTTGTGGCTGAACTCTGTCTCCCTGCCCATGGGTATTCAGGGGCTTAAGCTGTTCAAACGTCGTCGCATACGCCTATTGTCCTTGAAACTTTCCCTTTCTATATGAATTTACAGGATCCAGGTTCGTTCGCCATTACGAGTGTCGGGAAGCAGCATAGAAAGATGCGCTGGTTTCATATTAATATTGCCATGTTATTTGTGCCAATACATGCTAGCACATGATCAGAAACAGAAAGCAGCAGAGCCCGCCCAGTTAGTATCCGGCTTAACCGCTAACCGCTTAGAGCTTAATTAAGGTTTAGCAGAAGTTGAGGCTCAAACGGACCCCTTGATGGCAAGTTAACATAGTATGAGAACTGAACCGTGCTTCCTAACGTTATAGCCACCCGAATTTTAACGGAGCCACCACTCCACGCCATACTCCCGACGTCTAACCTAGATCTACACGATACCTAGGCTCCCGAGAAGGGTTTATAAACGAAAACAACCTGTAAGGTCCTAAGACAAAGCAGCCAAAGGCCACACTGGTGTGGCCTAGCGGATTGTATACTTTACAGTATCCTTACTCAGTATTCTTACACTAGTATCATTACTCAGTATCGTTATCCAATATCGCTAGGCCTTGGGGTTCGATTCCCCTGGTGGCCATCTCAACCTTTTTTTTTCGTTCTCTTTTTCCCTTACTCTACGGTAGTCTACCATAGTAGACATTGCCTACTACTATATGACCAGTATAACCAATGGCAGGTCACTAGAAAATGGTTCTGGGCAATAAAGCGAATAGGGGAATTGTTACGATGCCAACCTTACGCGGGGGGTACGAACCATGCTGTTCCGCGAGGGACTTTAAACCTATCGAGCAGGCTCGTGATATACATAGAGATAATCTCCTTTGTCTGCGCTGTCTTAGAACCCAACAGACCCCTAGCTCTGGCGTCCAGGCCGTCTCGGGTCGAACCCTGACAGGTCGCCTCTGACGGGTCAGTCCTCTGACAGGAGCCGTGTCGGCGAAGGATAATAAGATCCTGGAGGCGTCCGTCTTAGACGAAAACTCTTTGGATTGTAGGTGATATTTGGATCCGACTGAAGACCGCCTAAAATGGACTGGCTGAATCGGCAACTTGTATATCAGTGATCTGGTCCCATGCTGCCATATGCAGAGAATCATTCCAGAGCAGTAGACAGTGTGGATATATCTAGGCGAACTGAACTAGAAGCGGAATGGCATCAAGCGCCTTCTTGGATAGGTAGTAGTAAGAATCAAAGACTGAAAAAGGATACCAAAAAGAAAAGGAAAAGGAAGAGGGGAAAAAAAAAAGGTGATATGGCCACTTGGGGAATCGAACCCCAGGGCCTAACGATATTGGATAAGAATACTTTTAATAATACTCAGTAATTATACCACTTCGCTAGGCCGCACCAACGCGGCCTTGTTGGTTTGGTTTCTTGGGAGTCATTAGGCTGTTTGGGTATATAAGGTATGTCTTCTTCCAAGGCTTGGACAAGTAGGTTAAATGCCGGGGTGTATGGTTTGTTAGATGGGTATTAAGATTTCAGCAAAGTACCTAAGGTATTCGACCCGATCTGTTCAAGATGTTGACTCACGTGAGATGTCATCCCTCTACCTGGATTGAGGGGTGTGTAGCGTGTCTTTCGGTCAACTAGATAAGAGCGTCGTTCTGTAAAAGCTCCATCTCGTACACGATTCTGTAATGCCTCGACTACACATGGAAAGGCCAGGTAAGCGGTGGCCAAAACGTTCCCGTGCGAAATAAAGTTCACCAAACATCGACCGTAGAATCTTAGACGGAGCATCGCCACTCCACACACCTGCTCACCTGACCAAGGTAACTTTCTGTCAGCTAGACGAGACACATAAGTGAAAAATCCAGTAGGTCTTCAACACCGGGTAACAATGTCATACCCGGGGATCGTTTATTTCACCTTGTGAACACGATCCCCATCCAGAGCGAGCCAAGTTATCTTACTGGGCATGATAGGTTGAGCTGAGATTGGAAGGATTGTGACATAATATGCTTCGATCAAATTATTGACAACGCGTAGCAGAAGAGGAATTAACCCAAAAGAAGGCGGAATCCGCCCTAATATCTTGGTGAGCTTTGCATATGGATCTGATTTTGCGGGAAATTTTATCTATATTAAAGACCCTCAGGGGGCGGGTGGGAGTAGGAACAACGAAAAGGGGTTAGCTACATGTGGAATTTTTCTGTGACCAACCCGGTGAAGTACAATTACGACGAATCTCTATTTGTGCATTTGAAAATAAGACACTTATCTGATCGGTGATGAAGTTGAGTTGTTAGTTAGGGTAGTTAGCTGTCTTCCAACGCTTGCTCTTACATCCAAGCAAGGTGCTGGCAGGAGTATCAACGGTTTCCACTAGACTACCTGGTAAACAACTATCAAGAGCTCCATATGTTTCCTTAATAAGATGGTAGGTTAACCGCCACCGGCCTCTATTCATACGATGTTGTCACCATCCCACGCCGAGTAGCACCAGCGTGCGTTGCCTCCAGACCACACGGCTCTGTTCATCCTAAAAGTCCAGCCACTTAAGACATCTGTTACTTTCGAGGCAAACAGCGAACAACTTGGCTATACTTGTATCCCTATACCCTAACAACACTTGCATTCCGACCCAAACATCCTTAAGTGGCATGTTAGAACAACCTCACTAGCACATACTATATATAAGGCCTCGCTCCTCAACTGTTCCCAAGAAGAAAAATCACGCGTAAATAACGTCTTCAATCACTCTTAGCTACCAAACACATCGATCCATCTCTCCTCTCAAACAAGACAACAACAAAATGGAGTCCAAACTCCTCTCCCCCCTTTCCCTCCTCACCATCCTAGGCATCGCCTTGCCCTCCCTCGCCGCGCCCATCCCCTCAGCCTCGACCCCTCATACCACCACCACTTCCAGCAACACTTCCAGCAACACTTCAACCACAACTCCCAGCATCACACCTTCTCCTTCAGACGCCTTCTCTCTGCCCATCCTAGGCGAACCCGACTTCAGCCAACTCAACGACATCTCAGTGCACTGTCCCGACCGACACAGCGAATGGGTGTACTACGTGTGCTACTGGGAGAACACGACGAAGCAGTGCGACCCGATGGGCGACGGCACCGCGGAAGAGCTGGCTTGTCAGAATTTGTGGAAGTATACGTGTGGTGAGTACTTCTCCCCCTTCTCCCTCTCTCTCTCTGCTATTATCAACCACCCTGAGCTACGATCTTTTATTTCATTATCAGTCAAGGGGGCCTACCTACCTCCTACCATACTGTTGGCTCGATGGGGAATGGGAATGCTAACTCTAGCTCCCCAGGGGACCGCGCTCACTGTAGGGTGACTGAATGATTCGAGCGGCAAAGCCCGGGAGCTAGAATCAGGACTTAGCATTGAATTGGAGAATTGGTACGGTCGAATTTTGGCGATGGATGGGCCGGATGTACCAAGCGAATGCACACAAGATTGATATACAGAACGTATCATTGGTCTGGCTTCCGGCGAAGATGGATATCATGCATCTAGGTGGCTATCAAAGGCTGTACAATCACTTATACCTAGAGTGGACGCTTTAATGGACTCATAGATTGGGTTCCTGTGATATACTCAGCTCTCCCTTCCATGTATCATCAGTGAACATACTCACAGTTAAAATTGTTGACTACCGGGGTACCTAGGTAGTCTCGTAGTGTACCTCTTAGACCTCTCGTCCTTCCCCTTGTCCAGCATGATCCAATCACAATTGTAAGAAGGTACGCACTGAAAAGCTGTATCAGAAGGTGAAGGATTAAACATTGACATTAACAAGATTGTAGTATAAGTCCAATTCCCGACCAGCCGCTCGTGTATAGACCATATGACAGCAATTTAATCCATACGAGAATATATATACTTTTAATTGAAATACAACTCTAAGTTCCCTTTACATTAGGAGGTAGGTAGTATATATTTAGGATTCCCTCTTCAGAGGAGCTTCGTCGCAAGCGCAGACGGCTGCTCGAGGATAATACCCGGGCCAGCGACAACGGTCTCCTTGGTCGGGGCACCGGCAGTGTCGGCGACAACGGCCACAACGACACCCTTGGTTTCGAATTGCGCAGGGATCGTGACGCGAATCTCCTGTTGGGGCCACGCTGCCGTGTCGATGGGCACGCTGACGTTCGCGAGGCCGTGGA